GTCTGAAGTAAAGACTATTCCATTATTGTATTATTTTGAATACATTTTTAAACATATGTTTTATTTACTTTTATTTTATTTTCCTAAACACTAACAATATAACAACATTTAGTGCCTTTCCTTTAGATGGTGACCGCATTTTTGGGGGTTTAAAAATGTCAAAATCTGAAACCACCCTCCAGAGTGGAAAAGTTGAATACACTCCGCCCTAGCATTTCTGTCTACACTGCCCAAGACGCAAAACTCTGGTCAGAGCTGCTCACATTGTGTACGCGTTTACGTCACATACATCATCACCTAGCCACCTGGCATGCATACCCAATCGAATTCCACACAGTTTTGTGTCACCGTATGCACGCAGATTTCCTCCCGAAAATGCTCATCTAAACGTGTATTAAAAAGTGAAGATGTGACACCAATTTTGCGTCAGTCCGTCATCATATAAATGTAGCTTTAAAGGGCCCATATATTACTCTATTTTCTGATATAATGTTGTTTTCTCATCAGAAACAAACCTGGAGTTGTGTTTTGTTTCATTTGCACACATTTAACACATAAACCCTGTGTATTTAGGCTGAGTTCTTCTCTCAAACTGAAAACAATCTGTTCCACCTTGTGATGTCATTTGGTATACAGAAAGTGCTCCTCTGTGTTTTTAAACTCCACACACCTTCACTAGAATCATTTGGTTGATTTCAGCCCGAGGACTGCCAGTCTCTACTGAAATTAACTTGAAAACTACCACATCGTGACATCACAAGGTTGAACAGAGCATCTTGAGCTTTGGAGATGTGGACAGACTAATAATAATGGATTACTCAGACGTGTGAATGAAACAAAACAAAATTCCAGATTTTTTTTTTTTTCATAAGGGTCAATTTTGCATAATATAGGACCATAGAACTATAATCAAATCTGGAAGATGGAAGACGATGGAAGATGAAGATGATAGAAGATGAGGTTGACGGAAGATGAAGATGATGGAAGATGAATTACTTCCTGAATCCTGGCCTTGCGCTGGAAAACGTGTGACGTCAGAAATGTGCAGTTCTGACCAGTCAGAGCGCTCGCTGTGAGAGCAGAGATAGCGCAAGCTCAGAGTGGGGCTATGCTATTTCTTACAAAGCTGACTTTTATGAAAGCTGTCGATGCCCTGTCAGTCGAACATGGGCTATTCTTTCTGGGCTGGAGCTCCCGGGAGCTGCAGGACCTATGGAGCAGCCACTAAGTGATCTCACTCGCAGACCGAGGGGACGTTTCTTATCCAGTTCTCATTATAGATCCATGTATAGGATCTTTAATCATTGCTGTTCACTACAAAAATAGTAAATTTTCTCCTCTAAAGTCTGAAGTCCAAACCACATGCTTTCACTGTCACTGAGGACTGTCTGAAAAAAACAAACAAAGCATATCATTGACAACTGAAATGACTGATTCTCCCTCTCTTGATTAAAATTCCATTAACTACACAGTGATACTTTGAACTTTCTCTTCAGCGCTCAGTATTTTCCACAACAGACAGAATTTGTTTTGGTTTTCTGCTGGTCTGTTACCGCATTGTGTTTCTAGCAGCAGTCTGGCCCTTTGCCAACTCCTCTCTGTCCTTCACATACTCTACACATCTCCCTCCTGCTCCTCCATCTCCTCCAGTCTTATCTAACACTTTCTCGACATGCTTCAATCTCTCACTCTCACTGTCCTGCCAAGCTGTCGTGGCATCATGTATTATCCCATACAGGCGTCTTCTCTATGTACAATCAATGCAGTGTTGTCGTACAGAGCCATTTTTGATACATGATCTCTTTTTTTTTTTCATAATTTTTTACGCTTTAACTTGTAACTTGTCCAGGTGGCTTAGAAAAGTTACACTGCACCAAAATAAACCATACAGAAAGTCATACACAATATAAAAAAATAACAAAAATAGATTATATACATATACTCACACAAACATTCTTCTTTCTCTTTCTTTTTCTTTTTTGTCCATAAACTCTTGACACATGATCTTGGTCAGATCTTTGTCTCTAGTCTGATTGAGGATGGTGCCAAGTACTATAGTCGTCATACAGTAGTCATTGTGGCCATTCTCACACTCTTTAGACAAAAGGAGTCTGTGGAGTAACAACTAGTGAGAAAGGCCTATTTTGTAAAAGGTGCAGCCGCGGGAATCAAATGTGTGAAAATAACAATAAAAGTGTGAATGGGAAGGTATGAGCAAATTTGAGTGTTACTACGAAAATCAGAAGAGTTTGACAGGCTCATGACAACTGGGGATGTCAAGATTATTCCATTAATCTATATCTGTAAAAGTAATAATATCTGTAAGAAATAAAAAAAAACCCATAATTGCGACAAATTGGAAAACAAAATTTAGTTATTTCAGTTCAGGAAGAAAACACTTCACATTTAAATTAAAGACACATTGTGTAACATTTCTGGTGGAGGGTCTGTCACCAGCTTGTTTCTATGGAGATGTTATTGCTAGGGCTGGGTATCATTAAGAAGCTGCCGATACGATACATACCTCGATACATAGGCCATGATACGATACATATCGCGATACAGTGCACTTTCATTTCGATATGATATATTTCAAAATGATTCAATATGACTCAATAAAAAATAAAGGCCAAATCATGGCTATTATACCAAAAGTCTTTGTTAAACCACCTTTTGTGCAAAGTTTATATGAAACAGAAACATTTTAATAATCAAAACAGTGAAAATGTCAAATATGTTGCATAAAAGAGTTTCCTTCCATTAAACAAGCAACGAAATGTAGCACTGTAACAAAGCAATTGAGTAAAATATACCAAAAAAGACAGCAGCCCATGATATCGATACTGTATCATCACATTAAACGATACGATATATTGATATTTTGATATTTTTGCGCACCCCTAGTCATTGCTCTGCCTGGAATGTTCCACAGAATGACATTAAACAGCTCTAATTTACATTTATTCAGTTACAGGTGGTTTCATGGCTCAAAAATACATAGAAAAACAGGCATTCTGACTGTGAGCGGGAGTCGCCTCTCCACAAATCTTACCTGTAACTTAAGTCTTGTTTGGTCTCAGTGCAGATAGAAAGGGTTAATACCACATGAAACATTTCAGACAAAGTAATAATATTTTACACACAGTTACACAATGTACCTTTAACTTAAAAGTCAAGTGTTGGCTTCCTTAGCTGATTAGGTCACATTAATGTTACTATATCATGTACAATGTTTGATTTTATAATGCTAGTAAAGTAATGATAATATACAGAAGATCACAGGAGTGAAAGAGAATTTAAGATTTCCCTGTTATTTGGTCATGGTGTGAATAATCATGAATAATCACGATGCTGCTGCTACAATTATTGGAAAATACTTGGAAACAAAAATGTATATAGTGACATGATTACAGTAAAACAAAAAAATAAAATACTGCTAAGATGAAGTCTCAAACAAAATCACAACATCAGAGTCAAAAAGGCAAAATACTTCACCATTTCCAGCCTGGTCTCTCTCAAGTTCTCTTTGTCCTGTCAACTTTGATTTTCAGCAAGCGTTTCTCCCTGTCACCATACGGCACCTGCAATCTGCTGCTGTTGGCAACCGTCACAAGTTTAGCATCCTCGGTCTGGTCTCTTCACTGCAGCTTTGTTTGTGTGGGGAATCTACAACAAGACAGTTACATTATTCCTCTAGTTATTAGAATGTGTGCAATTATAATGGGATTGGTTTAGGAATTCTATCTTGGCAGGAATTTTATCACAGTTTTAAGCGAGACAGTTACATTATTATTGTTCATATTACAACATATGGTTTAAAGTATAGATTGATAGGAATTTCATTCCACTTGATTATTGTATTTATTAGTATTTTACAGTCATGTGGTATAACACTGTGACCACAAATTTTTTTAGGGTAAAACATTTTTTGACATGATTGAGACAGTTTGATGTAACTTGAAGAAGACCATCAAAGTTGCAAATATTCAACAAAACATTTAAGATATTTGCCTAAGACAGACTAAGATAGAAAACAAATCTATACATAAGCGAAAACGCATACAAAAAATACATATATATGAGAAACATGAACAAATGAACAAATAGTCGACCATATAATCTGTATCAACATTTTGTGTAGCTCATACCAGGCTATTGTGAAAGATTATTTACATGTACGTACCGTGAAGAAGATAAGATCTGTAATAATATCTGTCTAAATTATATGCCTTATTATCAAATTATTGCGTATTTTATCCTGCTTCCCACATTTGTTTATTTACATGTGTTGTACCACTGTTAAAAATACCATTATTATTTCCACTGGATAATTTCACTTCTCCCTTGTAGCCCAGGCAAATCAATTTTTAATTACTTCACTAAATCCTCTTTGGGCTGACGAATGGACTCAGAATTGTTGTCATTCTTGCTCTGTCATCACTTTGTTTCAGTCGGAGAAGAGGAAGTGAGGGGTAGTTTCCTGTGTCCTTACTCTCCGTGATGAGCTCATGTGACAGACAGCTACACAGTGAAACATGACGAGATGTACAAGGGATGAACAAGCAGCCAGGTTGTTTACAATGCTCCGCTGTGCAGGGTGTATATTTAGCCAATTGATCCATGCTTTAAAGATGTACTATGGGACTTTTCTATTGCAGGTGCATAGAGATGTTACTGCTTTGCCTTAGATCTATCACAGTGTAATGTATAAATATGTATCTGATATTTATTTAGTTCCAGGAGACAAGCAGATGGCATAAGATGCTCTAAAAAAGTTATACAGTGTCTCCTACTAACATTTAGATGGCTAAATGCTTTTTCCAACACTATTTTAAGATTCTATTTTTAGCAGGACAAATTGGATTACGGTTCTACCCGGAGATGCCAAAAGAAAGGAGCAAGCTCGAGTAGGATGAATCAGCATAGTAAAAATAGGACTGCTCCAGGTCAAACGCCCCATCTGCTAAGAGTAGATAACAGTTTGTCTCTCTTATTCACAGGTATGAAGAGGAGTAGACATCTGCAGGTGTCCCAGGGCGATTCTGTCCTCTGGCCGTTCCTCCGATGTGTCTCCGAATGCACTCACCCCCCCCCCAGGACAGCTATAAAGGATGATCTGAAAATACACTGACACAACACTGAGCCCCAGAAGTACTGTCACAAAAAATCCAAAATTGCTGTTTGTTTTGGTTGGTCTCCAAGTCTCTACTCTGCTCCACTTTTTCTTGCACTTTAATCTCGTCTGCGTTCCCATTTCTCTGCTCAGAGGAGGTCATGTCCCAGTCTGGAAAAGTCCTTCATCTGTATGTGGAAGTGAGATCTGCCCCAGATCAGAAAGCAGAGAGAACTGAGGAGGACAATCCCGCTGAACTACTTTCCAAGTTAACAAACTCAACCAAAACGTCAACTAGCCACTGCTTAGCCCAAGAGCGTACTCAAAAGCAATCTCCTTCAAAACATTCAGTCAGTTTTCAGCTCCAAAATTCACCAAAAGTCACAAAATCCTGGACCTCACCTTGCCATAACATCCAGTCTCCACCATGCTACGCCTCACCAAAGTGTTTAAAAAAAGAAGATGTCAGTGATAGAAAACGATCTGTTGTTACGTTCAGTTATGTTGAGAAATCAAATGTTAAGACGATAGAAAGTCCAATAAGAGACCAAAGTCATTTTCGTAAAAGATTAAGTGATCCGGTTTATTTCGGCAGCCCTACTTCTACTTGCAGCTCGAGTCCCTACAGATCTCCAGGTCACCAGCACTATCTTCCCAGACAAGCACCTGTTTTTGACCCCATTGGGAGGGCAGCTACACAAAGAGCAGTGGAGGAGTTTGGTTCTCCTTTATTGCGAATCAAACTAGCTCACGCACTTGAAAACAGTGACTATTTATATAACCGAAAACCGCGTTGTCAATCCTGGGCCGGTTCGCCTCTTTTCAAAAAACAACCAATGCACTCACACGTGGAATCGCAAAGCCCTCGTCACCTCTTACAAAGCAGTCCTGCTACTCAAAGACAATTTGATGACTCTCCGATGTGTGGCACTGACAAAGTAGAAGGAATGAACCAGTTAAGTGAAAGAAAATCGCCGGCGAATAGTCCGGAGGTTGCGCGAAAGCTAGTAGAAGAGGTCATCAAAGTTTCTGCTAGTTTAGTGGCAGGAAATCATTCGCCGTTGCACAATCCAGCGTCCAGTGCACAGCAGTGTAAAATGAACATCCCTTTAACAGAGCAGCTTACCCCAACCAACTCAAACCAGCCTGAAAACTCACAAGAAGCAAATAATGACACTAAGCCCATCGACTGCCACCAAAAATACCAGCATCCAAGCTCGATCCACTCTTCACCTGCCATTCCTTCTCGCCTGGTACGTCCCGTTAACCCTCCCGCCGAAACTAGTTCACCTGTAAGGGACCCAAGACTAAGCCAGGGGGAACTCCGCGCCCCTGACACCCCAACATTACACCGCTACCAACCTCCGCAGTACATGGGCGATGTCTGGACTCCTCGTTTGGATTTGAGAGACGATTTCGAAAAGGGAGACTGTACAGAGATAGCGCGCAGACTGTATATCAATGAAAATGTCGAGGAAGCGCCTGTCAGTTGGACGTCCAGGCAGCAGTGGGGGAGCGATGAGGTGACAAGCCCAAGACCGAGCCCTGAGTCTGGGTTTGTGTCGAATAGTGATACCTCCACAACTCCACCACCTCAACCAGACAAGAAGGGAAAATACCTTAGCCCCAAAACTAGACAAAAACGAGCAGAGCAAAGACGAAGGGAGATTTTGCTTTTGGGACCTGTGGCGTTGGACTCGCCCGATGAGGACGAAGGGTGTGATGAAGATGTAGCAGGACAGGGGCAGAGTGGAGATAAAGAAAGTCCAGGGGAAAATGGAGGAGGAGTAGGAGGGTCGTCTTCGCGCAGCTCCAGTGGCGTGACAGGTAGCCTTGGCGACCGGGACTGTGTGTCGCCCGAGTCCAGCCAGTCGAGTCGCCATAGCAACGAGACGGGGGCAGTGACCTCAGGAATACAGGTATGCAAGTTTTAATCATCACGAAAGCAATCTCAGAACTTTACTCACCCATATGCATGCAATGTAGTAAGCGACAATAATGGTGATTTTAGGAGTAACCGTAATATAATATATAGTATAATATAATATAATATAATAAGTTGTTGATGACATTAGGATTGGCACACAATAGCTAGTGTGTGGTATTTATTTATTTATTTCATAAAGTATAAAAAGACATCAACAGTCTCACAACATCAAACATACAAGAAATGAATGAAAAGGAGCAGAAAGAAGACAATACATCAACATTGATAGTCACTTTAAAATATTTCTAAACAATCAATTGCAAACAGAAATCTTTACTATTATGCACAAGAACTTAGTTTTCTTTTTCATACAAACACATTGCTTTCAATTTTATGTGTTTTTAAAATGCCATCATTGCACTTGATTTTTCAATATATGTCATGCAGTTTACATTTCCTTTTTGTCACGGTAGTTTTACTTTACACCACCACTCTTCAATAAAATTCAAATGTCATGGATAATATAGCGTTGTGAATGTAAATTAGTCTTCTATCACCAACAGTACTTGACTACACCTCTAGTTGCACTTTCAAATGGTAAGCTTTTGTTGCTTATTATTCTGATAAAATATAAAGGGACCTGTACAGAGCTTTTGTTACTGTTTTCAAATACATGTTGAATATTTGTGTGTACTTTAATTCTCCAGACAGACAGTGGCAGTGCAGCTCCTGTGCCCTCTCTCCACTGTCAGAAGATCGCCCGTGCCAAGTGGGAGTTTCTGTTCGGGACCCCCGCTGAGGAGGCTGCTGGCAGGAGGGAGAAGAGTGAGAATATTTAACACAGTTTTCTGTCATCTATGCAGATCAGCGCTCTTATGTTATCAAAGCTAAACCTGAGCCATACTGTTCCAGAAGAGCTCCCATGGGCAAGACTTAGAAATAATTCTTTGTTATTTGACAGACCGCCACAACCAATCATCTTACATCGTCTCTTTTCTTTCTATTCCCTTTGTTCGTATTGATTAACTTTAATGAATTAGTTTGCTTACTGCTGCATTTAGTAAGGATAACATATGTGATTATTTATATGCAGAATGTCCCACTACATGAAATAATACACCTAGAAAAATCTGTTGCAACTTTGAAAATATTTTTACATAACAGTTATTTTCATCTCAATTTATACTACAAATGTTGATCGCAGAATATCATGGCATTAGATGCACTATACCTTAGCTTTATATCAACAGTCACATCTGAATGCAAGCTCTACTACACCTTCTAGACAGGAATACACACAATTTCCTGTAGTATATTACATTACATCCAACCCATAACAATAAATCTTGTATTCCTTTCTGTCCAGATGGCGTTGAAACCTCCACAGCCCCTCCTAGTGGTAACTCCAGTGAATCACCCACTCCCACCCCTCCCTCGTCCCTGCCTCTGCTCTCAGCCAATCACGAGGTGCAGCACGTGGAGGTAGAGCTGGTGACTCCTCCCCCCGCTGTAGTCGGGACATCCCCCAAAACAGGCATCATCCGCCGGACCTTGAAGTACTCTGAAACAGACCTGGATGCTGTCCCCCTGAGATGCTACAGAGAGACAGACATAGATGAGGTGCTCATGGGCGAGCAGGAGGATGCTGACTCTGCATTTGGGAGCAACCGCAGTGTGCAGGGAAACTCAGGTGAAGAGAACTTAAGATTTGCTAAAACACTGGTAGAATATAAAATGTGATGTTGAAGGAATTCAGATGATAGAAAGGGATCATTATCTCTGGAGCAAAGTATAGTTCAAAATTGGCAGGTGCTCTTGGGGAGGGCTTTTTTAAACTTGAAAATATTAGTTGTTAGAAGGGTAAAATCTCAAAAATGTGTCTAGAAAATCAGGCAAAGCAAATGTAAACAAAAGCCTTTATTGCACTTTGGCTGTTAAGCATAAAACATACATACCAATGCATTTTTGGCCAACATAGCCTTCATCAGACAAAAACTAATTTCTATACACATTTTTGAGCTTTCACTACTTAAATATTTTCAAGATGATTTTTGACCTGATGTTTTAACAAGCAAAGCATACTACCATCACTTTTTACATGGCAGGATAACTTTTTATTTTTTTATTATGTCATATTCCCAGATAGGAGCAAGAGCAACTAGATTTCCCTAACATCACTAATGCTGAACTTTTATAACTAATAATCAATTTAAAATATTATTCAATATTTTAAAAAATATCCAAATGAACAAAGAAATTACGCACAGTTTGTCTTCTCACCAAAGAGTGATGAATGAAGTATGAAATGTTACATAATGCATCAAGTGTCTCCAACTCTAGACAGCTATTATAATGTATTTTATTCAAGCAGGAGTCAAATCATAGCTACATTATAATAACAACTATAATAACAATGACTAGAGTGATTTACAGAGACTAAATATGTTATAGAAGTAATGATCAGACTTAAATTGTACTTTAGAAAATTGAATGGCATGTTTAGGTGTTATCAAACCATTTGCAATCATTTAAACAAGTCCATATGCAAAAGTAGAAATAAAAAAAAGATGAAACATGATTTCACAAACTTTTGTAATTTGTTACTTTTAAATATAGGTATTGGCAGTAGTCCTCTAGGGGGCGATAATCCTAGGACAGATGGGGAAGATGGAGAAGACAAAGAACAAGAGGATGAAGAGGAGGAGGATGAAGATGAGAGTGAAGAGGAGGAGGAGGAGGAGGAGGAGGAAGAGGAGGAGATGGTGAGCTGGGCCAGTGTCCGGATGCAAGGGGATGAGCGGAGGAGACTGCACGGGTCGAGGGATGATCCTGAGGTGTTTGAACCCAACAGGTGATCAGTGCAAAACATACTTACACAACACATGAACAAGTCAAGTCACATTGTGTAAAGACAGAACGCAGCACGGAAATGTAATTACTGTTTAGACATCTGTAGTTAGACAATATACAGGTTTGCTCACATTCAATAATATGACACAACTGCTAAAACGTCAAGGGTGAAGTAAGCTGTTTAATTTTTTTTGTTATTCATCCTTATTTATATTGGTTAGCCTCTTTAGACGTATTGCCTAATTTTCAAAAGGGACCAATATATTCTGAAAACTAGAAACAGGACCTAATTTAAAAAAAAAACAATGTAATGGTTTATAGGACAATATAGGACCATTCTAGGAGCATTTTCTTTTTTAAAGTCTGTGGTAAATTCTTTATAAACAAAATTGTCCCTACTGAGTTATAGTGAACAAAAAATGTTGTAGGAAAAATCATACAAAAATACTATACTTGAACTAGTAAAATTGCATCTTACCACATACATAATTTCGTGCTTGAGATCAAATAGCATTTCAGAGTTGTGTCTTCACCATTATAGGATTGCTGGAGGAGTGAACTTTGAATGTATAATCATGCTTTCTTTAATTAGATAGAACTATATATGTACTGACAGAAGAGAACAGTGTAAATTTTAAATGTCCACTTTTAACATGACCACAGAGGCCTCTCCCATTCCCACTCTTTATTAGAAATGCAGTGGGTGGTTTGAGGCACATACAGCAATGCTTTTGGTATGCGTCAAAGTCTCTCCTCCCTTTGCTTAGGCCAGAGGAAACTTTTTTTGACAACCACCACCCAGCCCTGAAATCCCCAATCCTGGTCTCTGGTCCGCGGCTCTCAGCAGAAGACACTTTCAGTCGCCACTTTGAGAGCATCATGGAGTCGCACCGAGCTAAAGGGACCTCCTACAACAGCCTGGACAGTGAGGAGATCCTGACTTCAACCACTCAGACTGTTTTGACCTTTGACCTTCCAACTCTGACCCCTGCCATCCATGGGCCGGTGTGCCAGAGTGCCAGGCAGATTGTGCAGCTCAGTTTTGCCCCGTTGGCGCATGATGAGAGGCCTAGTTTGTCAGACTCTATCTTCACCATGGGAGGGGGCGGTGATTCGGATGCCACCAGGGCACCCTCCAGTGAGAGACTGAGCAGTGGGTCTGAGGGGACCCCGCCACGCAGACGGGAGACGGAGCACATAGGGAGCCCCTGGTACAGCAACTCGTCTTTCCCAATGATTAAGTGAGTAAAGACACAATATACACACAAAGTCACACAGTTATATTTTATTGTTATATTTTGTAAACAAAATACAAGCGTCAGCTTCCTATGCAGTATTTTTTCCTCTGGATGTGTTTCCTGCTACGGCCCTTCTCCATTTATAATTTATATTTATAACTTAGGAATGGTTCAATGGTTCCTAGATTTATGGATTTATGCAAAATAATATAAACCCTGCATTGGCCCACTACTCCATCTTGTGGTACACAGTATTATAACAGGTTGGAAAGAGTACATGACAGTATAAATTTAAGAACATGTTATAGTAAATTAGTCCTTAAAGGAGCAGTGGTCACTGAGGTTGCCATAGTAACATGAGCCATAGTTGCCTCTAGGCAGTTGTGGCTAGAGGCCTTAGCCATAGTTGTGAAGAAATTAGGTACTTGTACTACATAACTTCTCTTGTAGAGGATCTGCTGTCATGGAGCTATGGTATCTTTGCTTGGAATGTTCCACAATATGGTATTCAACTTGTATATCTTGCATTTATTCAATTACAGGTGCTTTTATTGCTCAAAAAATACTTTTAAAACATGCATTCTTAACATAAGTGGGGTTACAACTCCACAGGTCTGACCTGTTACATAGTACACCTTTAGTAGCTTTGTTGAAGTAGAAGTTGTACATTAGTAGTTGTAAATCCATTTTAAAGTAACTGTATCTCCACACTGTATGATAATCACTAGATTTTCAGTGTATTCTGATGAACTAAAAGACTGCAATAACCTTATTCCCACAAAGTCCTTTAAGTAGTTTTTGTTCATTGTTGCATTAATTGAGTTTAAAGGCTACTAAGAAACACACAAACATTTCTAGAGGCAATGAGTTGTGGAAATTGATGCTATTTTAATGTTTGGTTGGCTTTTCGGTCACTACCTCCCTAATGGGCTGCTGTCATTGCCGGATAAGTCTGCCTCTGTCTGTGTCATTATCCTTGCATAGAGAAGTGGTGCAGTGCTATTACAGACCTGAGCTGAGACAGTGAAGGTCGCTCACAAGGCTGTCCCTGCTGTCTACCACCACCACCACTCACACATGTGCTTCATGCGGGATAATGGTGTGCATGCACATCAGTGGGTTTCTAATATTGCCTTATTAACATGCAGAATATTCGTGTGAAGATCATGTAGCACAGGTGGGCTTTCTGACAGAGCTGCAGTGAAGAGGGATCACCTTGACTGTTGCAAACTCATTGTGCACTTTGAATCAACTTCTCTTTTACTCAAGCCATGTTTTTATTATTATTTATACTATTATTATTTATGTTCACTTAGTTCTTCTCACTCAATTTATTATGTGTCTTTAATAGTAAAATACAGTAATTAGGGTGACCACCTCAAAATAAAGAAAAAGAGGGACATGTTCAGTGTAGTGAGACATGGACATGGACAGACTGGGGAATTTTAAGATTATATAGATAATAACTGCAATAACACCATATGATTTGGTGATGAGCTGTTTTTTCATTAATTGTAATGCACAGAGAGAGATTAGAATAGATACCGGCATATTTTCATCCCTGAAAACCAATACAAACAAAAATGATTTCTTAATGAAAAAGTGTGACGAGGACAGTAATTGTAATTTTCTTTTATGTAATGCTTTGTGTATTGGGCTCTATCCACTAATAACAATACAATTATTTGATTCTGTATGTTGTACTTGGTATGTTTACTGTAATGGTCTGCTCACTGGTCTCTCCAAACGAGCTGTGAGACAACTGCAGAACATCCAGAACGCTGCAGCTCGGGTCCTTACTCGAACTAGGAAGTACGAGCACATAAGTCCTGTGCTCAGGTCTCTGCACTGGCTTCCTGTGCCTCAGAGAATAGACTTTAAAGCAGCTCTACTTGTGTACAAGTCTCTCCATGGCCGAGCACCAAAGTACATTTGTGACATGTTAGTGTCATATGAACCATCTCGCACTCTGAGGAGCTCTGGGACCGGCCTCCTGCTGGTGCCCAGAGTCACGACTAAACAAGGGGAGTCAGCGTTTCAGGCTCATGCAGCTAAAACCTGGAACAGTCTTCCTGAACATGTGAGACAGGCCTCTTCTGTGACGCTGTTTAAATCCAGACTCAAAACATTTCTGTTTAACTGTGCATATAACTGAAAGGTTTTCATTCCGCACTCTTCTCTCCAATTTATGTCTCTCTTTTTTAAAATTTTAATCTTCATGATTATTTATGTTTTGATTTGTTTTTATTATGATTTTAATGTATTTCTTATTCTGTAAAGCACTTTGAATTACTTTGTGTACGAATTGTGCTATACAAATAAACTTGTCTTGCCTTGCCTTGCCTTTAAAGGGCCTATATTACCGGACTTTCTGATCTGTTATAATGTTGTTTCCTTATCACAAACAGACCTGGAGTTGTGTTTTGTTTCATTTACACATATTTAGTACACAAACCCTGCATATTTAGTTCATCTCTCAAATGAAAAACACCTTGTTCCAGTTTGTGATGTCGTGTGGTACGTACATCAAGCGCTCCACTGTGTTTTTAAACTCCACACACCTTCACTAGGATTATCAAAAGGTAGCTGTTAACTTGAAAACTACCACTTCATGACAGCACAAGGAGGAACACAATATTTTGAGCTTTGGAGATATAGACAGACTAATAATAAAGGAATATTCAAACACATGTGAATGAAACAAAACACAACTCTGGGTATGTTTTTGATAAGGTTACAACATTCTAAGATGTTTTAAAGCTCACAAGAGTCAATGTTACATAATATAGGATCTTTAAATATTTACCATTATCTTTATTATTATTAAAATGGGGCTGTATCCATTTGCCTAACACTATAGTCAATACTGTTTTGAAATGACCTCTTCCCTGGGCTTTAGCTTCCCTAATGAAAGTGCAGCTTCTTTTGTTTCTGAATGTCATTGGAGTTAAACAGCACTGCAGAGGAGCAGGCTGTGTCAGTTTGCAGCTGTGGCCACTAGAGGGCAGAAGAACACAGCAGCCCTGGTTTAATGCACTACAGCTGCCATTATTTTCTTGACTTTGATTTCACTTGGATTAAAATTACCAAAATAATATATGTACATTTTTCTTCTTCCTCTTTTATCTTTTTTTTTGTCATTTATCTCTAGTAAATTTAAATATATTGCATCATTAAGTGGGGTCATTTGTTTAATGTTAGTTTGAGTGTCAACATTTGGTAATAGTAATAAAAACTTTCTTTATTTCTTTTATTACCCCAGTAATACTATCATGAAATCACAAAAATCAAGCCCCCACGGCAGTATCAGGAGGAATGTGTATGTTTTTATTTCGTCTTGGCTCTCTGTTCTGTACAGTTAAAATCCTCAGGAAATAAAAGGGCATGCGGTATTCCCCCTGAAATATTTAATTTCGCTGCGCACGGTCCACCTTCACTACATTGCACCATGATAAGACTCGCCGTATGAGAAACTAATCAGACTACTTATCCTTCAAGGCCATATGTATTTTTGTTCTTCTTATCTCACATTTTTTTGACCTGGCAACCCTGTAGCAAAACCTCCAAGAAACGAACGCATATTTTTGAAGCCTAGTTTGATGAAAGTAGGAATTTCAGTGGTGCGCCCCTCCCCTCTGCCTCTCCCCTTTCATAAAGTCTGGCCCGTTGGACAGTAGCTCATTGTGCAAAGTTAGGAGAGGAGGGGGTTAGCATTTTGGCTAAAACTGACACTGGGTTTTCTCTCAGGACCTTTGATTATTAAACTAACAATGATAACAGGTGGCTAATTTACCCCCCCCCCCCCCCGAGTAAACAGGCAGTGGGAGCTGATAGGACGCTGGGATGAAAAACTCACACCCTTTGCTTCAAGTTAAAACCTGATATCTTTAATATTTATTTTTCTCTGCGGACACCAAAACAAGACCAACCAGAACCGGTAAAACTCCCAGCTGGGGTGGTTATATAGACTACTGACTGTGTGTAATTGGAGATGCAAAGAGAACAGGAATGAATGAAGGAAATAGGAAGAAGGAGGCCGGACTATACGCTGGTTAGTTTTGGGGTAGTGGACAAGCCAAGTTTCATGCCAAGCTTTGGAGACAAGGTCAGTAGGGGACAGAGGGAGTTTACTCAGCGGAGAAGGGAGAGAGGGAGGAGTAGAAAACTGCATTCTGGGAAGAAAATGTGCTTTTTTACTTCAAGGGGAAAAGAAGGCATGCTGTGAAGATCGGATGACAGCAAACACAGGCAGAGACAGGAGGGATTTTCACATAGGTTTGCCATAGTTCAGTGACTGATATGCATTGAGGTGGGAATTGCGGGATAGGGATGAGGTCCGGATATGGGCTAAGGAGGAGAAGTGGTAGTGGAGGGGCCAGACCAGTTTTAGTCCAAACATCTGGATATAGGAGAGAGATGAGGACCACGTCGGTAATAAGCTGTCAAAGGGAGATGGCTCGTGCAGAGGAGCGAAACTTGCAGGTCAAACGCTCATTTCGCAGGTGAGACCCCGCCCACAAACTTTTTAATTGCCATTATAGATTTGAATAATCAGCATGGTGGAAAAAAAAAAAAAAAAAAAGTGTATGTAGCGTGCTTTTTAAAATGTTATCACTGTCTGGATATCTAAGTCCAAGTTGCTGAGTAAGTTGACCCATTTGTTACATCTCACTGGAAACAGAAATATTGTAAAGAAATTTAAGCACATGTATTCAATGACTACTACATTTTATTGAAAACTTAGTTTTTTAATCAGTTACTTTTGAAAAGACTCAATAACATTCTAGCAAAATAGACCATTCCAAATATGATAGCATTTTTTTCTTGCAAATTAAGAAATGCATATCAAAAAGTCAGATGTACTCTTGGGGGGGTCATTGAAGACTTTCAAGAAAACGTGGGTTTCATTTTTTCAGTTTGTTGAGTCTGTTAATTTTCCCTTTGTTCCAGAATGATGTTTTCCTCTCTTGTCTTTGATTGATTCTTATCTCACTCTCTCTTTTCATTTCAATCTGTTACATGTTTTTTGTGAGTATAGGTGACCTGGTAGTTGTTTATTATTTTGTTTTGTTTTGTTTTTTTCTATTTTAGATTTAGATTTTTCTGTTTTGAGTGTGTGTGTTTTACTCAGCTTTCTTCGTCTCTAAAAAATAGAAATAGAAAATAGAAATGTTTATCAGTATTATCTTAGTGGCCCATGCATGCCAAATAAAATAGGCCAAAACGTATATCAACAACATCAAACAAATATAGTATGGGATGAAGGAGCAGTACACACATTTAAAATGGTTTAATATGCTATTTTTTTTTAAGTTATCATGACATTTTTGTATTGTTTTATGTAAAAAAAAAAAAAAAAAAAAAACAAACACTTTGCAATTTCCCTTCCCTTCATTTCTGCCTATTAAATATATTGCCGTGGATGTATTTTTAGGCCATGTTATTGTAATTCTAAGTGAAGAGTTCAATTGCAAAACAGAAACAGATAACTGTAAACATGCCAAAATTGTTCTTTTTGTTATCATCTTCTGCATAAATGATCACTGTCTAGTGGATATTTAGCTTTTGAAAACATTTCCATACAAAGAGTAAACTGCAAGCTTTCAATTACTTTTTAAAATGCCATTTATCTGTTTTTGCAAATAAACTCTTCCAGTACACTGCTTTTGCTTTGTTACCGTTGACGTGGAGACTGGTTTGTGTTTACTCCGTAGTTACCCATTGATAATCCCTGGTTACTTTTTTAACCAGACAGCTTGTGCCGTTAGTGACTGTTGCTTGGTGCCATTGACTTGAGTTGATTCACTTGATAATAGCAGCGTTATTGAATGTGAGCCCTGAAGACTGTTGGTTTTCTTGACTTGTCGGTGGCGCTGTGAAACCCTCTCTCTCTCAGGAAGTGTGGACTCTTGGCAGTTTCTGTATTCAGCTGCTGGGCTGTCATTGTCACTGGCTGGTGTGACTGGAATGGCTAGTAGATGCTTTATATTAGGCTCCGTTTTAACCAAACAAATCATGAACAAGTTAAATAGACTTAGATTTGCACAGATTATCTCTTCATATTACACCTGTTAGTGGGTGTGCTGTATGAATCAGAATATTTTGGCAAGTTGATGTGCTAGAAACTAGATGCATATTATATTTTCACTATAAAATACATTAAACACATAATTTTTAGAATTTGTGGTGGTGCAATTTTTAAAGTTTTAACAGAGAATTCAGTTTATTTCTAATTGTCGACGATGAACTTTGGTCTTTCTAATCGAAATATCAGCTGATCCTCTGTCAGTAGAAGCATGTGGTTTGCAGCAGAGTTCAGACTTTGGAGGATGAAATTGGATCATATAATTTTGGCAATGGCAATGATTTAAAGTCTAAACATAAGGTTGCTTTATGTTTTATTTTTTTTGTAATTTGTAATCAATCAGTCAAGTCAATCAGAAATCATCAATGATCAATTCAAAGAGAAACATCTTTATTAACTGTCATATCTCCCAGTATTACCCTGAGTATGTACATGTAGTACCTGAATTCCATATCTGCCTTTAAATTGCTTTTGCTATTTCTGTCCTGAAACATTTAGTCCAGCAGAAATGTCTAGTTCTTCTACATTATTAACATAGTGAAGTATTAGTGTTATATTACCATTATTCTGAGCTCCTCTTTTTAACATTTGACCTTGAATTATTGATGTTTTTCCCTGATGTGTTCTGGAGCAGGGAGAAGGCCCGTTTGGCCACAGACTCGGAGCTGGACCAGGACCTGAGCGAGCGCCTGGGCCTGAGCAGCAGTGACACTCTGACCAACGGCAGCCACAGAGCTGATCTCGCCGCCGCACGGAGGCTCGCCAAACGTCTCTTCAACCTCGATGGATTCAGGAAGTCCGACGTGGCGCGACATCTGAGTAAGAAGTGAGTGGAGGAAATGAACTGACATTATACAAGTTGTTCCCTTAGAATTATAAGGTTCTGTCTGTGTTCTGGGAACTTCTGAGGTATTGAGGTTTAAAGATCTGACATAGAGCATAATGGGCATGCTCCAAACCCCACAAAATGTTATATTCAGGAACAAAAATGTCAACAGAACCTTATAATTCTAACGGGATGAAGTATTTTAGAGTTTTAGAGATGCATTAGTCCAGCTCAATATTAACACAAATACTTGGCTTTTCAGATACCCCTTCAAAGGTTAACACATAGTAAGTGATCCAATTACAAGAAAAAAACAAAACAAAACAAAAAAACTGCTGGTTAAAGGGACAGTTCGGAATTTTGGACATAGGGCCTCATTTCATAGTGAGCCAGAGATGTGTGAAGACACTTTTTAAAATATTCCATCCAGTCCTTGTATTTGCAGAGGTCGCTGGTGTTAGGCTAGTGCATGTCGATGGCCATAGTTAGCCTGCCACTAAAAACAGTCTTACCCACTCCACAAAGCATTCGAAGGAAATTTATTATCATGCCAGACTGTTGATTTGAATGTCTGTGTCGATAGAATAATTTTAGAAGTAAAACTAATCTTGCATTTGAAGGATTTATGTCTGAGCAGCAGCGGCGAGTTGTACTTCCTGATGGAAAGCTTGGCAGCGGTGGACTGATATATGAGAAAATAGTCCCTCAACATGTGACAATTCACACGATGCACCAGTAACCTCTGCAAGTACAAGGACTGGATGGAATATTTAAAAAAGTGTCTCCACACATCTCCAACACTCTGGCTCACTAGGAAATGAGGCTCTATGTCCAGAATTCTGAACTGTCCCTTTAACCAGTAAATTATTTATGATGCATTATCATTATAAAAACCCATTTGCAAAAGTTATGAGAAGTTCACTGTCAACTTTGGGCCAAGAAATAGCTTTTCAATACATTAAAAGTTGCCTTACACTAAATTCAAATCCTGAGATGATATCTTGTAGCAGTATTGACAACAGGATAGTTAGTTAGTTGGGTTAGTTAGACATGTACAGTAACTAAAATCCTGAAAATATCCACCCGAATTATAAACTGTTTATATATTTCTATGTGTTTTTTTCAGTAATGACTTCAGTCGGATGGTTGCAGAAGAATATCTGAGTTTCTTCAACTTCACAGGACTCACACTTGACCAGGCTTTACGGTAAGATGGTGCCAGAAACTACTCCCTTTCTCTTGGCTCTTTCCCAACAATCCCATAGACATTACATTTAATCTCTTCTGACTTGAGTTAATACAGCAAGTTTAGATAGCTGTTTTATTTATGATATGTTCACTGTACACAATCAAGACAAAAGAATAAGCAATAGAATGCAGAAAATGTGGCTATTGGGGCTTGGGGCGTTTACATGGCACGTAATAAGCAGATAACTAGAATATTGGTGTTTACATGGACAAGAAACGTGACACCTTGAAAACGCATTATGACAATTCAAAATAATTGAATCTGTAACATTTTCTTGTTCATTTTTTGTCTTTGTCACATTAATTTGCCCTTTTTTTTGGCATAATTCTCTCACAATAATTAGATTTTTGGTGTGCATGTAAACATAGCAACTGTCCACTAGATGGTGCTATTGTGGTTGCATTTTACCAAGTCCTCAAATCACCATAAGCAAGTTATTTAGCATCAACTGAAGGATTATCATATGGTTTACCTTGTGTGTCCCAGAGCATTCCTGAGGCAGTTTGCGCTAGTGGGGGAGACTCAGGAGAGAGAGAGGGTCCTGTCCCACTTCTCCAGACGATATTTTGACTGCAACCCCAAAGTCGTTCCATCAGAGGGTAAGTTCACCTAAATACACCTCCTCTTATACCACTGCTTTGTGCTTCTTCCCATAGTGTTCAGTGCTTAAGCTCAGTATTTCTTATTTCTTTCTTCACTTTTGAAACTTATTTTTTTACGTTTACATATTTTTGTTTTACTAACAGATGCAGTCCACACGCTCACCTGTGCCCTAATGCTGCTTAACACTGATCTGCACGGCCAAGTGAGTAGTTTCAATACTGACACAGCTCTAGCAAATATAAACAAGTGTATTCAGAAGTATTACATCAATACTACACCACTGAAGTACAGTATAATGCAATATAAGCGCACTGCAGAAAATCTTAAATCATGATTATTAATTTTGGGGCCCTTAGTCTATCAAACAAGAAATAAGTAAGTTGTAAGAAATGGGGAAATGTTAATGCCTAGGGAATCCAGTGGGGAAAAAAATGCTTTTATTTTCATTTTGATTATTATTTTAATTTCCTTTCATTCAAAATGCTTAATACAAAATCATGAATACATTTAATAAAAATACTCATTTCTTAGTTATCTGATCCACAGGTGCCCACAAATATATACAGCTTCACTCAAAAAAACAATATCATCTTTAAATCTTCCTATCATTCATCATTTTTAATCGAATTTTATAAGTAATATGTTCAAAGTTAGATGATTAGTCATTTTCAGGCTAATCTGATCCACAGGTTTCAGAGCTTTTTGAATGTGAACTTCTGTATCTCCACTTTTGTGCGTAAATCTGGGCCAGTGTCGATAGTACATCTCTGCGGATGAATGATTCATTAAAGTGTCTTCAGAGGCGACAAGATCCTCAGTCTTCTTCTTTTATAGAGCGTCTCAACAAGTGGGACCGCACCGCTTTTGACTTGTCATCTGTTAGATCATTAAGATCACAGGAAGACCACAAACAACACCGTGATGTGACAAAATGTTTCACCCACAGTGTAATGTGAAAATTAAGCACAACATTCTGTACCTAAGGATGAGTGATACAGCAGATTTTGTTAAAGGTGCATTGTGTAACTTTCCATTTAGGGTCCGTCACCTTCTTGTTTGTATGGATATGTCATTGCTTGGCTTCAAATGTTCCACAATATGACATTAAATAGCTCTACCTTACATTTACTCAGTTACAGGTGGCTTTATTGCTCAAAAATACTTGGAAAAATAGGTGTGTTCTCACTGTGAGCGGAGTTGCCTCTCCAGAGATCTGAGCTGTCACTTGGCCTGGTTTGGTCTCCATGGTGATAAAAAGGTTTAAAGACACACTCTGGAGAAAAGTATGGACAGACCCTCCACAAGAAAAGCTACACAATGCATTTTTCTTCAAATCATTATTAATCAAAAATATATAATGTAAGGAGTTTAGTAATGTAAATCTAAAACTAGGGCTGCTTTGCTCTAAAATTTTAAGTTCTGGCTACTAAGCTATTCAAATTCACAAGGTAGAGTAAGATAGATTATCATATTGAAATCTTAATATAAGCATGCCAAACCTTTTCACCCCTATTACATTGCACTTCTTTTGTATTTAGCTCTGGCTGATTAGAACATCTCATATACACAGATAAATACTACATTCAGACTTTGAATTTAAATGCACATAGTAAAAAGACAAGCAATAGTGAGTGCCAATGTACAATCGTTTTATTTCATTTTGCAGAACATTGGCAAGAGGATGTCATGCACGCAGTTCATTTCCAACCTGGAGGGTCTGAACGACGGCCAAGACTTTCCCAGGGATCAACTCAAAGTAAGCAAAACGTCAGAAATAGCACCGCACACAGATACTCCTCCCAAATGGCATCTATGTGTGCCAGTATTGTCATTCAAATCCACCAGCTGGCATTTCTCCTATCTCCAGAGGCGTCCAATCAGAAGCCTGTGTGGTCTTTTTCACTTCCTGGTTGTCTTTAGTGGAAGTGAATAATATGCAAAATTAATGATTTAAAGGTGCATTATGTAACTTTTTGGTTGGGAGCCTTATAATGTTCTAGTCTGATTCATCAGCCGGTTTCAATTCGTGGAAACTCAAAGTTCGTCTGACCTTGCAGCATTAGAATTTGTTCGCTCAACGGTGGGCGGGTACTTTTTTAATTTAACCAGTCGCTGCTATTTGGTCGTGACGTATGTAATGCGCTGCTAATGGGGCTAACTGTTATATTAAACGTTTCCCAAATCCTGTAGGAAGAAGGGCAATAACATCTTTCCCCTGGATAAAATTCACCAAACATTCTCTTTGTTCCGGCTTTAAATCCTTGACCCGGGGAATCGTTGCCAACACAGAATGTATGTCTTCGTCTACATCCATCTCAACCACTTTGTTTACTGTTGTGCTGTACCACAAAAGAGACCCAGCTTCACAGCTCTTCGCTGATTGGCCGGTGCACAGTCTACAACTTCCTGAGTTCATGCAAACCATTTAGTGTATTCTGATTCCTGATTTAGTTTCTGGAGGGAAATTAAATTGAGTGGAGGCACTAGGTGGCACCAGCCTGGCTAATAATGTTATTTAATTGCAGTTGGTTTTATAGATCAAAAATACCAACAAAAACAGACATTCTGACTGTGAGCAGGGTTGCCTCTTCACAGATCTGACCTCTAACTTGTTCTGGTTTGGTCTCCATGAAGGTAGAAAAGTTTAATACCATGCTAAGAAACATTCCAATGAAACAAAGCAATGACATCTTCATGGAGAAAAGCATTTGAGGGACCCCCACCAGAAAAGTTACACAATGCAACTTTAAAGATGTGATGGAAAAATATCCCCACAATAAATCCCCAAATAATTGATAATGTTCAGAAACTTGATGTCTAATTTTTCAAACAAATTTTGCATTTTACACTTTATTTTATGAACATCCACCAAGAATTTTCTTGAAATATATTAACCAGGAAAGTTCTATTGAGACATATATACAACATGGTAAAATGACATCAATGATAAGTCACGGATTGCATTTACAGGTCTCTCAGAAACATATCAAACTGAGCCATATGTACCAGATTGTGTAGTTATAATTTTCTGTAAATATACTGTCATATTTTGCACATTTCTGATGGATTGCAAATAATAATACTGTTAAAATTTTGAAAGTAAACGCCCAATATATTGGGTTTTTCCATTTTGTTAATATTACCCTTCCTACTCCACCCTAGAGCTGCCTTTAAGACTGATTGTTATGTGATCTAAAGCTCGCCCCTATAGGCATGTTTGATTATAATAGCATTAGATTAGCCTGTTAGCTTCATTGTGGTGGACCATTGCTGCTTGACCATCAGATAGGCTTTAAAGCAGGCCTGGGGACACGTGATGACACCACATAACCCAATTATGGAGCTCTGACTTTTCTCCTAATGACGATGCTGTCGATTAGTTTTGTTGCTAAGTGGATTCGTCACCGGCCATCGAGTCGACAAGTTGTTATGGCAATATCGTGGACAAGAGCCCCCAGAAATAATAGAGATGGATAGATCGTGTTCAAGTCATAACATGGGCTGTAGTGCTTTCCATTAATACAGGAGACTATGATGTCCCCTATAGTCTAAAAAGTCCCCAATAGTATAAAATAAAGTGGACTATATTTTCTCGTAACAAAATTAGACTTTGTTACTCATGAATTTATAAAAGACACATACTATTTGCTTAAAGATCCCATATTACATTATTTTCTGATCTATGCTAAATGTAGAACGTGACATTTATACTCCACAAATTGAATGAGATGAAACTATCCAAATAATAATAATAATTTGTCTCGTCATCATTTTAAAATCTATGTGAAACAGTGTTGCTGTAATGTGCGATTGTGAGATCGAGGAGGAGAAACTTTCTGTGGAAGAAGTTGCTGCCAGAGCGTCCCTAAGCAGATGTTATGAAATGGTTTATGCATAAAAGGGATGCGCTAGTGCCCTGAAAACAAATGATTAATACATGATTTCGATTTAATTTTTTTAAAGGTGAACTTTGTAACTTGGAGAATTGGCTTGTTTCCATGGAGATGTTGTTACCTTGCCTAGAATGTTTCACAATGTCACTGTTATTAGCATTTCAGGTGTTAATGAATCTTTATTGTATACAGCAATAATACAAAGAGCACAAAAATAGCATTCAGGAAGCATAGAAAATGACACAATGAACACACAATCAGAGATCAGTTAACAACAGACAAGCCAAACTCAGGCCCGGGGGCCAAATTTGGCCAGCGATATAATTATATTTGAGCTGCGAGGTCATATCAAATATGTATAGCTACAGATAGGCTATAGAAACATTATTTATTTAAAAAATGTTTTTATTATTGTATTTTATGTTTTTTCTGGATTCAACATTTAAGCAAAACTATTATTCAACATTTATATCTCGAAAGAAGAGAAAACATGCAGATGTTGTTGAAATTTTTCAATAAATATTTAGTTTGGCCCACAACTTAGTCCCCTCTGTGAATTTGAGTTTGACACCCCTGAATGAACAGAATAATCAAAATAGGATCAGACAATAAATAAAATAAATCTGGTTAAAACCAATTAAGAAAAGGCTGTTTGATAAAAATGAAGTTTAAGAAGTGATTTAAAAGATTATATTGATGGGAGAATCATTTTGAGAACCAAAATCTCCAAATTATAACAATAACAATGTGACCATCATGTCTAATGTTTCTAATAAAGTATAAACAACATTACAATTGTTATCAATAAGCTATATTTGATTTGAATTTGATTTGTCTACCTCATATCTGGAGACACAGAGTGGCCATGTGTAATTAATTGAATCAAAATCTTGCATATAGTTTTAGTACTTTTTGTTTTTTGGTCTGTCACCTGCTTGTTTCTATGGATATGCCATTGCTCTGCCTGGAATGTTCCACAGTATGACATTAAAACACTCTACCTTACAGATATTAAATTACAGGTGGTTTTATGGCACACAAATATCTAGAAAAACAGACATTCTGACTGTGAAGATAGAAAGGTTTAACACCATACTGTGAAATATTCCAGACAAAGCAAGAATATCTCCATGGAGAAAAGCATTTGACAGACCCTCCACCAGAAAAATAACACAATGCACCTTTAATACAGAGATTTAGGACCTCACTGCTGATAAAACTACCCATATTGGAAATGTAATGGGTCACTTATTCATGTAATGCATTCATGTAAGTAAATTGCAGTGTCAGATATTATCCAGATTATTCAGAGAAGAGAACCCCCCTTTACTCACTGCTGTTATATTAATGCATTTTCTTTTTAATCATGCATTGCACCTTTTCTAAATTCTTTTATGCTGCATTCTCATTGTGACTGTTTCACCCTGCAGCTAAACTCCCCTCTGGATTCTTTCTTTTCCTATTGCTCCTGAATGCCTTGCTCTCTCCTCGCTGTTTGGCTCCTATGCTCTTTAATCTCTCATATGAAGTTATCTTTCTTCACACGTCTCACCTCCACACTTTTGATTACTATTTATACCCCGTAAAGCTTTTTTGCTCTGCTGTTTTTGTGCATCTGCAGCATAATTTCCGGGCTCCAAATAAGCTCCTATCCCAGGCCTCCTCCGGTCATTTACACATTTCCCCTCAGTGCCTGTTATCTGCTCGTGTGTGCTGTATAAGTGCATTAGAGATGACTCAGGCAAATCCTTCTTGTTTTTTTCGTCGTCAAAGCAACATCACAAAAACAGGTCCCATTTATTGTACATAGCATGTTATTGTAGCATGGTTTGGGCCTATGGAGGGTGGGGCTGTCACGTGATTAACGGGGCAATAGCTTCCTCTAGAATGGCCAATTTTCCCCCATAGCTCCCCCAAAGATTTTAGCTCCATTTTCATTTTCATTCTCAAAACATTTCTGTTTGACTGTGCATATAACTGAAAGGTTTTCATTCCGCACTCTTCTCTCCAATTTATGTCTCTCTTTTTTAATTTTAATCTTTATGATTATTTATGTTTTGATTTGTTTTTATTATGATTTTAATGTATTTCTTATTCTGTAAAGCACTTTGAATTACTTTGTGTATTGTGCTATACAAATAAACTTGCCTTGCCTTGCTTTGCCTTCATAAGACATTCAATCTTAAGTAAAAGTGTTCAAAATAAAACAATAATTAAATTTTAGCTTTTTATACATCACAACACAGGGGCTAACTACATTTAAGGTGTGTTAAACACCAAAGCAAACATGGTAGGGGTGAGGGTGCGTTCACATCCATAAACAATTGTAACTTGCACCCCAACTGAAGAACTTAACACCCCATAACTCCTCCAACCAAAAATGTCTGGCACCACCCTTGATTTGGAGTGTAAGACCCCGTTTACACGTGCATGGGTATTTTTAAAATGAGACATTTACCTTTGTTTGTACCCGTCTTTTACACAGGCATTTAAGGTGAATTCGCTTCAGAAAATGAATCTTTTCAAAAACTCCAGCTAGACTGAAGATTCTGGAAAACTGTGGTTTGGCATTTGCGTGTAAAGTGAGATAAACAGAGTTTTAGACAACTGACGCGCTAAAAGTGCGACCGATGTTTTTCTTTCGCTATGATAATGATCATGGAGCATTCAGAGCAGCAGTCGCATTTCTTCTAGTGCAAACTCTTTTCATGACATCATGACATGACATATTCATGACCATAGACCAATGAGGCTCAGAGGTTAGCAATTTTGCCACTTCTATAACAGATCTGTGGAGAGGCGAGCCTGCTCAATAATGCACATTTTTCAAGGTATTTTTGAGTAATACTTAAAACAGTAATGA